CCTCCGCTACCACTGGAAAAGCGTAACCATCAACTTGGATCATGTCTCCCTTGTAAACTAATCACGTTATTGCTTTAATGTCATTCATTGAATCGCTTTGAGTTTTACAACTGTCAATCACTGTTTGAGAATACCATAAACAATGAATGTGTAGTGCCGTAAACGGAATAGTCCCTGACGCAAAATCGTCTTCTCCTATAAAAGAGCATTTCTTGTTGTTGAAAACTCCAAATATAGCTCACTCCGAAATAAATATTTAATAGCAAACACATTTAAGATTACTAGAAAGGCTGTCAGTTCATTAAGCTATAAGCATACTGAAGCTTCTCCTCCATTGACATCCATAAAAAAAAAACTTTGCCAGTTTACCGCTATATATATATATATTTTTTTTGCTAATCTTGAAAGCTCACCTTACAAAGCTCTGGTCTAATTCACATGCATAAATACTGGTTAAAGCCGCCAAGCTACAAATATATTATTCAAGTCTGTTTGTCTGACTTCTCAAAAATATGGCCAATTTTAATCAGCCAAAAGTGTTTACATGACATTTTAAAAATTCTGAAATTATATCTGTCTGTCTCTTTCTTCTCTCCCAGATGAACCCAGAGAGTCGACCCTCATTCACAGAGCTGGTGGCAGAGCTGGAGAAGAGAGTGAGTGATCGAGAGCAGAGTGAATGTATAGAGCCTGATTTACAGGGTGAGTCGGCAAAAAAAAAAAAAAAAACATATAGCACAGGGAATGTGTTGCCAGAAGGCTCTTTTCTTTTTTTTCACATTTATGTAAATACTTCACATACATAATGCAAATTCATGTCAATAAAATTATGTAACAGTCATAATTTAGTTAAATATCATTAGTTTCTATTTTAATAGGGCCCTATAAAATCTGTTTTATTTTTTTCTGGATTCTATTTTAATGGTTACATTTTTAAAATGTAGTCATCAAAAAGGATGTCTAATTAATTGAAATCATGAAACTACAATTTAAAAACAATTTATTAAAAGTTTAACACGTTTATTTTTACTGCCCTATGAAATTGTTTTTTATTTTTCCCCACATTCCATGTTTTCCATTTTAATGCCTTAATTAAATTTTAAATAATCAAAAAGCATGTCTAATCAATTGAATTAATACAACTTTTACAATTCAATTCAGTACGCTTTTTCCGCATTATGAAAATCATAGGACCCTAATTTAATAACTATTATCGTAGTGGTAAAAACTGAGCATTAAGTTTGTTTTTCTCTTCCCTTTCAGACCGGTCGTCCACAAACACAACGCCTTTGAGTCAAAAGCATTCTCTAGACATTCCTGCTTACCAGCGTCTCTGCCGTAGCAAGTCAGACGTGCTTCTCCCTCCATCCCCTCTCCTGACTCAGACCACACCGATGCGTGTCAACCCCTTCTCCCAGCGCCAGGACCTCAATGGCGGTCGCATCAAGCTCTTTGACACCCCCAGCAAGTCTGTTATTTCCCTCACCTTTGCTCTCCCTCCACCTCCTGACCCCAGCAGCCCTGTCTCCGGTGACAAGGGCCCGCCCCATTTTCACAGACGCAGCCAATCACTGCCCTGCACGCCAGAAGACATCCAGTCTCTGCGTGGCAATGAGAAATGCAAGAATAATAAAAGTGTTAAGGACACATTTTTAAATCCAGCCAATGTAAATATGTTGGACATGGGGAGGGACAGTGTGTTGACCATGAGCAATGAGAGTATTGCTGACCTGTCTAATCTTAGCGAGCTTGTTGATGCACCTGTTGAGGATGACATGGAGGAGAGTCTTAAAATGAGAAGTCAAGAAGCTGTAGCCGATGACTCTGGTCTCCTGTTAGATGTTGAGTCGATGTCTCCAAACAAATCGATGTTTGAGGAGCCTATGGACTGCACCAGCTCTCCTGATACACTAGATGGAGCCGGCGTTACTTCAACAAAAACCTTCTCCGATGGCTCCAACGGACCGCCCTCTTTACCTCCGTTACTAGACCCGGACAACAACAACAGCACCATCCCTATAAACCGGTCTCTGGGATGGGGGGCTAACAACTCCAACGGTGCCACTACCCCTCTTACGCCTCCGGAACAGGATGAGGTCATATCCTGTCTGGGTTGCTGCCTAGCAGGGATGAGTTTCCCCTCTATTTGCGCACGTGGACCTCGGCAGAACCCCTATAAGAACTTGAATGGCGATGCGGCAGGGAAAAGGCTTCTGTGCAAGGCATTGCCGCCCTCGCCCACAGAGCCGAACATTGCTCTGCCTGGCACACGGACATAAATTATAACTGCATGTTATATAGGTGAAGCACTATATTTAAAAAAGATGCTGCTGCTTAATGCGCTTGTACTGCTCAGAGATGTCTTTCTGGAGGGAGACAACTCTGTGTTATCGTTTAGACTAGGTGGATCATTTAGTATTCTGATCTAATGTCCTAATCCTCTAAACTTGAACACTCTCATAGGTTTTAATGCCTTTCTAATGACACATGTTGTTAATATTTTTGTTTTTTTACTATTATTTGAAAGGTTATGAAAATATTGAGTGGAGAAAAAATATGTATTATTTTATTAATGACATTAAATGACATGAGCTAACAGGCTGTGTTGTCTTTGGAGGATGTGAATCACATTATTACTTTACATGTTATATGAGTCACATGGTAAAATGGCTACAAAGTCTACATGGGGTTATATGAGTCTATATGCAGAAAGTATATAATGTACACATATGCTTATTCTATGGATTGTATAATGTATCTACGGAAGGTATGTAGACATACAATAGTTTTATATACCATTAATTACAGGGTGTTTTAAATATACTGTAAATCAGTAAAGTTTGGGGTCAGTAAGATTTATTTTAAGAAATTAATACTTTTATTCAGAAAGGATGCATTCAATTGATCAGAACAAAAGTGACCGCCTAAGGACTTTATCACTGAAGATTTCTTTCAAATTAATGCCGTTCTTTTGAACTTTCTGTGGTTGTCAAAGAATCCTGAAAAAGTTCATCGTTTCCACAAAAATATTAAACTGCACAACTTTAATCATTGATAATAAGAAATGTTTCTTGCGCACCAAATCCGTATTAGAATGATTTCTAAAGGATTGCAGGAATTAATTAGCTCATTTTTATTGTCAAATATTTAGCCAAATACAATACATTAAAATAGAAAACAGTTTTTTTTTTTTTAAATTATAAATGAATCAAATAAGTGCAGCCTTGGTGAGCATAAAATAAGTATTCTTATCTGTAAGTAGGCTATAAAATAATTTAATTATAACATTTATAAATTGTTATAATTTATGATTGTCATTTTTGCTACCATTTCCACCAGAGAGTGCTTTTGTTCTCTTCCTCCTGTTTCCTCTCTGCACGTGGGTTTAGTCCCTGTGTGGTTTTGTGGCATAGCCTAAGTGAAGCTGACATCTGTCCTTTTCTCACTTTATCTGCTCACCCACTGAAAGTAAGAGCTAATGAAATCTCCCATTCTTCTGTTTAAGGTAAATGTTTCTATGTGAATTTTCTTCTTTTAAACCTCATTATAAATTTGTAATATTAATATCATAATATAAATATGTTGTCGGTCAGCTTTGTACAGATATTCTCAGCTATGGCACTTTGATAAATACAGCTTTTCCCCCTTAAAATAACGTGCAGGTGTGGGGATGCCTGTCACTACCCTGAACTTGTTGGAATATTTTTTTCTGTTGATGTTTAATGTAGGTGAGTGTATATTTTATATATTTTTTGTTTCTCTTGTATTCTGTATGTATGTTTATGCTTTCGCGTCTGTGATATAGGTTACACAGGTGCAACATGTTCTTGTTTTCATGTGCTTCTTTTAGAGACTGTGCTCTCTGTCTGTGATGTCGGACTCCGTACAATCAATTTTGGATGCCATCTTGAGTGGAATTGCCCTGATGCCAACCCTAAGACGACTTATACTGTCCAGACCAAGATACGCGGGTGAGTCTCATCTACACACAAAGAATAGGTTTAGAAACACATGAGTAACTGAATGACGTGGAGGATTTTGTTTATAGGAGAAATGAGAGTGAGAAGCAGAGAGCAGTAGAGCGCTTGGCTGAGAGGTGAAACTCTGTGTGGTTTAGCAGAAAACCACAGTCAAACACAATCCGGGCGTATTGCCCCAAAGCAGACGGGCTATTGTTATCGCTTCAGGCACGCTGTTGGTTTCCTCTGAATTAGTATTGAAAAAGAAAATGACTCACAAGCGATCAAGCTCAATTTGCTCACTCACTTTAAAAAAAAAAAAAAAACATGCCCAGTGGAAGAGTTGCGTTTTTAAGAAAATGGAAGTCAGAATATTTGTTTGTTTCACACAGTTATGAATGGCCGGATGATCACCATAAAGACATTTTTTGCATCTTCATAAAGTGCTCTTGATATTGTGTGTTTGTGTTGCAGTACATCATGGGAAAATGTTTCAGACTGCATCCAGATTTTCCAGCAAAGCTGTGATCTGACACACGTCTTTCCAAACATCGACACCTACAACTTCATCAGGCTGAGATCAAAAGATTTTCCCGGGCTGAATGGAACTCAATCTCTGCTCTGTGACCCTTTGAATGACTGTCAGTATTAAACCTCACCAACAATTAGGAAAATTGTGCAAAGCTTGAAGCTTAAAAAAAAATGCATTTAATAAACAATGTAAAAAAAAAAAAAAAAGCTACAGAAATGGATTCACTAATATTAGATAACAATGTGTCGAAACGCATGATGGCCATCTGTCGATAACTAATTTACATAATTAGACAAGAATTAGATACGAATCACAATATGTTGCAATTCCTCTAAAAGTGTTAAGATAACCTTTAATACGTTCTCCTTTTTTTGCCAGCTTCTGCCACATTCAGCCCCCCCAACATTATCATCTCCATGGATAATAGAAGTCTGTGGGTGACGGTAAATTTTCACTGTCTTCCATCCAAAATCTGCACAAGTAAATATTATTATGAGGTAGAGAAGGAGATGGCTTGCCTCTGCCCCATAAATGACCTTAAAAACCTCTTGGCCACAGTCACTCTATACGACAAACAGAACCTCTCAGACAGACAGGTGCACAACTCTCATCTTTACATCCCTTTAACCCCATTTAGCGTTTTGTTTAAATGGAGAGTTCAGTTGTTTTATTTTTCTTGAAGACGCGCACTGTTGCGGTGTTGAAGGAAAGCCAAAGCCTACTCAAGGTGGAATTTGGTTTTCTTCTACCAGGGCGAGTGTACTGTGCTGTGGCCAACTTCACAGCTGAAGGTGTACTGGCCTCCTCTCCCACGAGCCTCCCGCAGTGTGTTTACATACCAGCAAACACTGGTGTGCATCATTTCTAAGTGTTTGTACTTATTTTGTGGTGTAAAGATGCAGTAAGTGCTGGGTAGATTACTTACAAATTGTAATCGGTTACTAATTCCAAATTACACGACAAAAATTGTAGTTGGTAACGAAATCCATTACATTACACATTTAAGGTAATATAAAAAAAAAGTAGTTGAGAGAATTAATGAATTACAAATAATTGACTGCTATTGTGAGAATAACATGTATTTCTGTCTGATTATGTGTATTTTTTAAAAAGTAATATAATTACAAGTACTTCATTTTTGGAATCTAATTACGTAAGCCAGATTACATGTAATCAGTTACTGCCCAGCACTGGATGCAGTACACATTTATTTGCATATGTTTGTTCAGTGTTTGTCGGCACTAATGTGTGTGTGTGTTCGTTCTTCAGAAAGCCTCATCGCCATGATCGTGTGTGCTGTTCTCATTGCTCTTGGCCTAGTGATATTTCTGCTCTGGAGACACTGTGCATCTTCTGAACGTCCCTTGCCCAGATCTTTGGTACTGGATTTTATATTTCAGCAATATTACATGAGCATGATTGCAAGTGTGTTACTGAAATCATATTTCTCCCCCCTCAGTTAACTATTGTTTTTATTGAAAACAAAACAGTTCTTAAAACTTCAGGAATCTCAAAATCAATTGCTCCCAATTAAATTTTTTTAAAGTTTGAAAACAAGCATCTTTGTTATAATTACAGCTGAAATACCAGAAATAACACAGAAGATGAAAAATGTCACGTTTACAGTTACTCCTTCAGCAGGTGTATTAGAAGTGTTTAGTCGTTTTCTTGTAATTTAATGTCAGTGTAATTAAAGACAAAGTATAGTGATATAAATGTGCATTATTTATTTTTTTAAACAGATTTACAGTGTTATATAGTGCAGAAATGTGTCAGTCTGCAATAAGGGTCCATATCAGCACTTTTGGAACCCTAGCCATCCAATCAAATTAGACTTTGATAATAAAACCAGTTACTCAAAGGAGCACTCCAAAACCTTCTAATGCAGATTCAATGCATTGTATTAATTGTTTGTTTAATCTGTCACAAACCAGCATTCAATGCATAAAGTATAAACCATTATTGTGTTTCCAGGCTTTACTTTTAGACCTGGAACTTCAGAAAGAGACATTCATTGACTCCTATAAGGCAGCACCACACGACGAGAGCTTTGAGGGGGACCACGTTTCTGTTGTATCCATCTGTGACTTCACACTCACGGACAACCAGTCATCTTACCACAACAATGAGTATTACACAAGCCCCGTCCTGCACGATCCAGACTGCATTGAGGGATCTGTGGAGTCTGGAGATTTGGGCGTAGAAGTCCAAAACAACGAGTTCCATTTGTTTCCATCTCATGCGGTTCTAGAAGCAAACGTGGGATGTCCATACCAGAATCACTGTGAGGAGACACCGAACATTCCTCTGAGCTCGGTGCAAGTGAAATACACTCAACAGGACGAGATGTCAACTGAAGACCCAGAGCGGTATGGAGATGTTGAGATGTTTAAAAGTGAATATGAGACCAATAAACATGGGTCCGAGCTAATTCAAACTACTGATAATTGTTGTTCTCAAGAGACTGAATACATTTAGTTTGAATACAGCTAACCTTGTATGCATCGGTTACTGGTTGGATTTTGGCATGTGGACATTGCACGCACTCAAAAATGGAGGCAAATGAAGGTGAGCTTGCAGGGGCGAGGTTTAAACTTTTATTAAAGACATTTTAATTAAAAAATAAAATACATTTTTTCAAAACAAAACATGTAAATAAAGGAAATATAGCTACATGGATGATTCATCTACAATAAGATCTATAACATGCATTTATATAGTGTAAATTATAATTCAAATTATATATTATGTCAACTTTAACTTTAGTAACAGGTTCTCCATTTTAATTTAGATGGCTTCTAATGGTTAGGTCAAATGGAGTTAAGCACGTATGCCTTTACTGCAGAGTGAAATGTGTCACTTCTTGCACGTTTATCATGGTCAAATGTCGCTGACCTGAATCTAGCAGTCATTATTATTGCCAACACACAATTCAGTGACTCACTCAAATCAGCAGAGCGCTATAAATCCGTATTCTGTCCGGGTTACTGTGAGTGCGGTATGGTTTCTGTATGGCTCGATTCATTGTTTTCATTTTTGTTTTTTGCTCCATATTTTTCACTTCTGACTCAGTTGCCCCATTTTGACTCTCATTTTCTTCGGACCATGTCTCACAGCTAACCACGCTAAGGTGCACAATTTCTGCTGATGTTGCCGTTTCTCTGGAACATTAATGCAAACGCTCCCAGGAGCCGAGTGTGACTCTCTAGGTTCTGGAAAATGTAGCCTATGTTGCGTTGTATAGAATTATGCATGTTTTTTCTTATTTTCTCCTTTTTGAGAACGTGTACAAGTATGTGGAGTCGACATGTACAATTCTGTTCATTTTGGTAGTGTAACAGTGAAGGGAAATTAGTTAATAAATACAGCAAGTTAGAAAGAAGGAAATTTGTTGTTTGAGTTTTCCTGAAGCCTTAATCATGTGACAAATATACCACCTCCAAACTGATTTCTAAAAGCAGATTTTCATTGCCATTTCACTCAACAGATGACTCGAGTTTTAAATGTCAAGTTTCTTGTTGATGACCAAACGTAGCAGAGTGGAAAAAAGTCTGCATGGGTTCAAGTTCAGCTTTAATAAACCACAGCCCACAAGCCTGAAAAACAACATGCATGTTCATCTTAGCTTAACAGAAATATCAAGAAATGCACAATAAACCTGCACTGACTTTCTAACCAAATATTATCACTTTATAGTATTTTTTTGGTTTGTGTGCATGTAGTATCGTTCTTCATCAGTTGTACTGTTGATTAATTTTGTGACAGTAAGTTTCATTATTTTAATTACAAAAACAAAAGAACTGAAGACTTGCTCAGTAGATTAATGCTGGGTGAAAGGTTTAATCCATAGAACCCATGTAGTCTAAAAAAATATATTGAGGTTTTAACTGTGTAATCTCTAAGGCATTGGCCAATTTCTTTAAATAGTCTGTGCAATAAAGTTGTATTGAATACTCCTCATAGGAAGGTGTGACTCACTAGCTGACTCGCACCATAGGAAACGCACACGTTCTCATCCAGAGAAACCTTAAAAACCACCATATGCATCAGAACCACTCATTGTCATAGGATGCCTCCAAACAGATAACAGTCCCTAATCAAGGGTTTCAAATACATATTTAACGGATACATTTTTTTTTTTTTACCATTGTAAAAAATTAAACGGAGACTTCGGTTAATATAGACTCTAAATGTTTTATGAGTGTTAAAGTGAATATACTGTAAAATTAATACTGACCAGTAAACAAATGCTAAAGTTGGAATCTTTATTTGGCTGTCTTTTTTTTTTTTTTTTACATATACAGTTCATTTTATATTTTATATACAAATATATTCAGTTTAGTCAAGACCTAGTGCATGAATGGTTCACGCTGAAAAACGATGTCACTAGTGTGGCCTTGGCACGTGTCCTTTTCTCCCATCTATCATTCAGTTGTTGTTGCCGTCCTTCTATCTGTTGCTCACTGATTATGTGAGAACCAGGCTCCATGACATCACCTCATCTGCGCCAATACTGTGGATTTTAAATATAAAACATTAGTAAAAGTCCAATATGTCAGCTATGCCAATTACATGGGACCGCTATTTGGCCATTTATCAGGATCTGTCAACAATCATAGGTGATTAACAAAAGTGGGAACTCTATTATAGCTGGAATACAGTGCAAGACTTTTAAAATATGCACAGATTTTTGAAACACTATGCATCATAAATTGTTAAAGAGAAAAAAATGGGCATCATAGACAAAATGAATGAGGATCACCTACTAAGTTTCAAGTTGTTCGGTTACACTTTATTTTGATTGTCCACTTTAGACATTCTACTAACTCCAAGTAACTTTGTAACTCGTGTCAACTAACTCTCATTCATTTGCAACTACAAGTCAAGTAACTTAGAGTGACTGTTCGGTTAGGGTTAGTAGATTAAATACCTATTCGGACGGGACTAGTTTTCCAAAGGGTCGTTTCACAGACGTACTTTGCGATTTTAATCTTGTCCGAATCTGCCAAGTCTGAATTTTCTCTCACACAACCTCTGTAAAGATTCCAGGGCAAATGACCTGCTGTTTTTCAACAAATTCAACGGTCCTCTGAGAAATCTAATCCCGTCCGAATGCGAATGTCTGTGATCGCTGATGTTGTTTTATCCAACTCTCCTCGTGTGTTTTTTGACCTACCTGAGCAATCGTTTGCGCACCAATCTTCAGCATACTTTAATTTAATTCAATATGGATGGTAGCCGATGAAAAAATAACATATACAATTAATAAATAGAGCCAAATCTGCAAAACTGCAAATAGAACCAAATCTGTGAAACAGCAAAGACTGCCCATTTTAATATCAATGTCAGGAAAGAGTAAGATACTTGTCTAGATTTCACAGATGCTATAAACTCGTGAAGTTTACTTAGTGTTTATTATTATTATTATTAAAATCATACCAACAAATAATAAATTAAAATACATATACGTGACGCACGCACAGCACCAGACCTTCTGTAACGGCCACATCTAGAAAACACACTCTCCCACCTCTGAAATGAACATGGAGATTTTAGTCCCGTCCGAATCGGCACATTAAATCAGAGACGTTGTTTAGAAAACTAGTCCTTAAGTTGACATGTACTTGCAAAGCTACTTATAGTCAGTAGAATGTCTGTTGGGGAGAATCACAATAGTGTTAGCAGATATTATGCAAACAGTATAGTAATACTCTAATGACTGCTGCTACAGTAGTTAGCATGTACTGAAGTTCCAAAGTTACTTAAAGCTCCAGTCCGTAACTTTTTTAAGTTAAAAATAATCCAAAATAATTATATTAAAAAAAACTTATTCTGCCAGTGGTCAAAACTATCTGCTTGCCATAGCTAGATTCAAAACGGTTAGCTTGTAATAATGATTTTAATTCCAGTGGTACTGGTGGGTTTCCGCGGGAAATTCGAGCATGTCTTTGCATCATGACGTCACACCCGTACACATAAAGAAGGAGTTTCGGCTAGCCGGCTATACTGCGCGTGACGAGATGTTTAGATGTATAGGCTTTTCTCGCAGCACTTTACATAATTAAACTTATGGCATCCAGAAAGATCCAAACAACAATCATCAGAGTCAACTGGAGATTCAGCAGTTATAAAACCCAAAAGACTTCGTACTTCGGATTTAAGGTGGCTAGAGAAAGAGAAAGAAACCGTCTCATGCAAACATAAGGATTTAAACATCGGCGGGGCTTTTGAAAAGTGCGTGAACTCCGTGTTTTGAAGGGGTTCGAAACGGAAGAAGAGACGGCTTTTTTCTGCTGAACAAGTAAGTTAAGACATTTCAATAGTTCAATCGTGTAACAGTACGTTTTCTTAATTCACACAGTTACGGAGTTTCCTTTGTTGTGCCTTTCTCGTTTTGCTATTATGGAGAATATGAATTCTGAACTACGCAGGTAGCTGCTAACCATAAAACACATTAAATTTAACATTAGTCACGCAATGCTGATGTTGTTAACATGAACAATTTGAGAACAAAGTAGGCTATAATTTGCACGGTTGCTGTAAATCGCATTGATTAAATCTAACGAAGCTTATCATGTCGAATGCTTTTCCCCCCTTAGTTGGTCAGAACGAAAATGGATTTTACTTACTTGTTCAGAAGATATTTTCTTATGAAAATTCTTATGTTGGTCAAACTTTCAAAAAGTGAATCTGTGATTCTGAATGACAGTATCCACACAGCGCTGTGACTGACAGCACCACTCGCCTCAAAGGCAAAGCACTGTGTTCATCCGCGCTGTTTCATGCCGATTTACAACCCACGTAAAGATAATAATTCCGCGAATCACTGTAGTTACAGATTTCGAACAGAGTGATGGCGACAAAGAGGAAAAGATACGGACTGCAGCTTTAAGTTAGTAGAATGTATTTGGGGGACAATCAAAATAAAGTGTTACCAATTGTTTTGAACACAACAAACTCAGAAAGCCGAAATGTGTGCTTCATTGCTAAGAGAAGCATGACACATGAAAACAATGTGCTCTAAAATAAGCTCAAAATATCAAACGTTTGATCTCCTCTGGATGGAATCAAAGACTGAAGCTAAAAAAATTGTCTGGGCTACACTGTGATTTTGAGTGAAATCTTTCAACCCTGACTGCCCAAAATCTGCAGACTGGCCCTGAACTTTGGCACCTAGAGTCAATTCATCCAGACAGCAAAAACATCTGTGCAAAGTTTTTCCAGAATTTAGCAGCACGGGCCAACAAAAATTGCTATCATCCATAGAAATGAGAACAGTAAAGGAACAAGCTTGTTTTGAGCAACATCATAAATAGGCCTTGTCTTTAATAGTTTCCATGCTGAATTTACAAAAGGGAAAAAAGTATTGGGTTAAAATATGAGGAAACATACACACCTGTGCAAATTTGTGTATCTGTTCAACCACTGCCGCAAACAAAGCCCCTACACTCTCATCAATCAGACTCTGCATATAATGCACTGCTTCCTCATCTGAGAGGTCCAATCGAAACTTGTCCTGAACCTGCAGTGGGCAGGCAAAGAATGAACAGGTTAAAATCTTATTGCTCCTTTCATTCTCCC